TTATCTGTTGTTTGGGCTTTGTTTTGCTTTTTTGCGCGGGAAAAGATTTGAATATTTGCATATTAACTAAGGCAGCCGTATAATAGGCCTTATGCGTGGTAAGATTCGGCTCGTGTACGGTGTAAAACGGTCACCAGTAACGTCACAAAGAAAGAAATGTTCCCGCAGTAATTTTCACTTCAACTCTGGTAAATTATAGTTACAATATGGATGTACTGCAATGTGTAGCAAGATTGTGCTCGCTCCTATTGATTTCACGTCACACAATTCTGACTAGTGTTCATTTGTTTTCGTATTTCGACTCGTAGTTGATAGTAGCCCGAGTTCCCCAGTCCGCAAGAAGAAAGCAAAGGGAGGGGATTATCATTGCTGTGTGCCGCAATGCACTGGTGATAGTCGCTATGACAGCTCATTGAGGTTCCACCGTATGCCTAAGGAAAAGAAAACTCGAAGGCAATGGATTGCTAAAATCCGGAGGGATGTTGGCCCATATTTCAAGGTTACTGTTTTTTTCTTTTGATTTTGTTTTTGTTTGTTTGTTGTTGTTGTTGTTGTTGTTGTTGTTGTTGTTGTTGTTTCAAAAAAGAACACCATTTCTGGTTTGGCTTTCATGCTTGTTATCTGCACGTTTCAGTACTTTGTTATATATAACTATATATAGATAACGTCCAAGACAAGAGTTTGCAGTAAGCACTTCAAGGAAGAGGACTACCATTCTCCTGACTGTGCAGGCAGGCGCCTGCTCAAAGAAGGAGCTATCCCCACTGTTWTTAATTGGGCAGCTGCCTCAAAACCCAGACGGGAGATAATCAGACACATCGAAAGGTGTGTTGAACATGGAAACTTGACAAAAGCAGTGTTGTAACTTTATAGCCCTATTTCGAAATGCTGTCACTGTTTTTGTTTTTTTCGCGATCTTGTTATCTTTTGATACAGCTGATCTGACCATGCAATTTTTAGAGCGATAATTTTGATCCTTTTTGACCTTAATAGTGCCACTCAGACAGATGAGAGTGACAGCAATGATGATGCTCCATGTGCACCAGAAAATGATTCCCAAGCAATGCTAAACGAAGAACTTCAACAGACTAAGGCACAACTTCATGCTGCACAAGCTGAGCTTGAAGAGCTAAGAAGAGAATCAGAAAGGACCAATAGAGAAGCAAATGCTGCACTTGTTCTTGTGCAGCAAGAACTTCAAAGACACAAGGAGCAAGCTGCAGCTGAACTTAACATTTTCAAGTTTGGCATTGAGAGATTCTCTACAGATGATGATGCCATCAAATTTTACACTGGATTCTGTTCAGATAAACATTTTATACTTTTTTATGATTTCATAAAGCCAACAGCAGAAACAATGACATATTGTTATGCATCTGGTATCCTTGAAAACCGCCCAAATATCCGGGCTATGCATTTGATAGATGAATTGTTTATGTTTCTTGTTAGGATTAAACTAGGGCTTTTTCAGCAGGACCTCGCTCACCGCTTTAATTTACATATTT